CTTGCCAGTCAAGCAAGACTGGGTCAGGTACAGCTAATTTCTTATAGAAAGCTAACTTGCCAGTCTAGCAAGACTGGGTCAGGTACAGCTAATTCCTTATAGAAAGCTAACTTGCCAGTCAAGCAAGACTGGGTCAGGTACAGCTAATTTCTTATAGAAAGCTAACTTGCCAGTCTAGCAAGACTGGGTCAGGTACAGCTAATTTCTTATAGAAAGCTAACTTGCCAGTCAAGCAAGACTGGGTCAGGTACAGCTAATTCCTTATACAAAGCTAACTTGCCAGTCAAGGTAACAAAATGACAAATATAGTAAGAGTCTTATTCTGGAAAACCTAAATTAAAATGATTTTTAGTCTTCAATTGATTTACAATTTAGTTTTATTGTCTAATATTAATGTATTTTTTAAAATCAGGATTTGGTTATCATGATAATCACTGGGTATATAAATAACCGTTATGGCCTATTTTAATGACAAGAATTCTTAAATAATTATTTATTTATATATATATACCGCCTCCTAGAGTTTTCATGAGCTAAAAATTGAACTTATTTTCAAGAACAAGGGCAATAACTCATACTAAATATTATTCAGTATCGCCCTAAAGAGTTCAAAAGAATTGTATGACTGAAGGTTGAATATTTCATACTGGTGATTGTTAATGTACTGCTAAATATTTTTATTCAAAATCAAATATGCCAGTGGGTGTATATTACCTTGCCTGGCAAGCTATCTTAATAATAATAATAATAAAGATGAAGTACAATAGTCTGTAAGTAACGATGTCAGATGGACATATTCCATTTTTTTTTTTTCAAATGTGTAATTGATGCAGATGAATGACAGAGATAAATCAAAGTGAGTTGTGAGCCATGTCTGGTTATTAACTCTTGTATTCTTGTATTTTTCAGTGGTAAAATAACATATTATACTCATCCACCAGAACATTGTGATTTACCATCCTATGTCAGTGCTGAAATAGTTACTACCATGTCCAAGGCCTTTGATATAGAAAGTATTAAACCTCAAGAAAATCAAGTTCTAGATAGTAAGCTTGTTAATACCTTGTTTATGTTGTAACAATGTTTCTTCACTCAAATCAAGTGACCAAATATTTATTTCAATTGATCTAGTAAAATATATAAACATAATAGAGGCTGTAGATTTTATCTGATAATAATGAATCTTGGTATGCATGTATATATTGATAAGATCACAGTCAAGAATGAATTTGGCTCATTTTGAAAGAAAGGTTTTTGAGTTATTGCCCTTGACTTAGTAAAAATGCACCAAATTTGACGTGTGAACATGATAGTGGCTACAGTTTTTATCAGATCTTGATGAAACTTGGTATGCAAGAGTCTATGGTATGCTATGGCCTATTCGAATGACAATAAACTATTCTTAGCTAGTTGTTAATCTGTATTGCACTTGCAGGTGTGAAAACAGGGAATTGATGCAATTTTTCAATGGAAAATATGATATTTTTTATGTCCGGTCTAAAATTTAAATGTGAGACACAAATTGAATTGTGCCAGACAAAACGTCCCAATTTCAAGTCATGTTCCTCATACAAAAACTAAATCATATTGGGTTGTTAATTATGCCTAAAACATTAATCAAAATAACTTTTTGTATTTGTATTAACAGCATTGAAGAAGAAGTCTTGTAAACACTTTTTGGTTGATAGTGTTGGTCCAATACCAACTTTAACAAAAGAGCCTCCATCAGAAGATGAAATCATGTCTGATGATGATGACAATGAAGAAAATGTAATGATTAATAATGATGAAGTTGAAGCTATGGATGAAGAACATGAGAAAATTGAGGTGAAAGATTTATCATTTTTATATGCCAGCTTTGTTGAAGTATTTTGTTGGCATCCTCATCTGTTAGTCCAACCAGTCACAACTATATAAGATCATATATTGGCATTACCGCTGTTTGTTCGTCTGTCTACAATGGCTCGTAAACACTCTAGAAGGGAAATTCTTGACAGAATTTAAAGAAACATGGTGAGAGTGTTTGAAATCATGGTATCAGGAAAATCAAAAAATATTACGTATGAGTTATTGCCCTTGTTCTTGAAAACACCTTCAATTATTGGAAGGCGCAATATTGGATGAATGTGACAATGTTAGTGAAATTGTTTAATATCACTGATGAATACCACACCTGGTATGAGTGTTAGTAATCACCCTGTAATCAATCCTATTGAAAATCAGAAATAAAAGAGACAAGTATGAGTTATTAATCTTGTTCTGGAAATGCTTTCAATTTTATTTCATACTAGTAATTGTTACTGTACTGTTAAATATTTTTATTGAAAAACAAAGCTACCAGTGGGTGTATATTACCGTGCCTGGCAAGCTATCTTTCCATATAAATCTGGGTTTTTCACATCCAAGGTACCTAAATAGGTTTAAAACTCCCACACCTGTAGAGATCCAGAAAGTCTCCTATATTTTTGTACACCTACATTATAATATAATTATAACAAATAGTTGTATTTTTTTTATAGTTGAGTAATATGACTGTGTTATTATCTAAGACTAAGAAAAAGAGTCAAACAGAAGATTATGAAGAAAGAGATATCATGGAAAATGTACAGCTCAATAAAAAGAGAAAGAAGGAATTTAATGAATTGAAGAAGAAAAAAAAACGTAATGGTAAGAAATATAAGATAATAAGATTCAAATAAAGATTTTCTTGTGAAATATATTAACAGACAAAAAACATTGTAGGAACTTATGGTTAGATATTTATATACAGAGAGAATTGGGTCAGAATAAAAATCTTATTTTGTTTTGATGGCAATCTTTAATACGTCCATATATTGACGTTACCCATATCCATCTTTCCATCCGTCTGTCGTTTCATCTTTCCATCTGTTTGTTGTTTCATCTTTCCATCCGTTTGTCATTTCATCTTTCCATCCGTTTGTCGTTTCATCTTTCCATCCGTCTGTCATTTCATCTTTCCATCCGTTTGTCGTTTCATCTTTCCATCCGTCTGTAATTTCATCATTCCGTCCGTCTGTTGTTTCATCTTTCCATCTGTCTGTCGTTTCATCTTTCCATCTGTCGTTTCATCTTTCCATCTGTCTGTCGTTTCATCTTTCCATCCGTCTGTCATTTCATCTTTCCATCCGTTTGTCGTTTCATCTTTCCATCTGTCGTTTCATCTTTCCATCTGTCTGTCATTTCATCTTTCCATCCATCTTTCGTTTCATCTTTCCATCCGTCGTTTCATCTTTCCATCCGTCTGTCATTTCATTCAAAATTGCTTGTAAACACTCCAGAAGGCTCAATTCTTAAGAGATTTTGACGAATCTTGGTGTAAGCGTTTATTATAGCCAAAGGATGAATCTTTTGAAAATCAAGTGAATGGACAACAAACAATGATTTGTTCTTGCAATCAAAGCCACTGGTGGAGTTATTGCAAACAACTGGACTATGTTTAAAGGTTATTTATTACAATTTTTCAGATGTTATAGCTAGTAAGCTATCTGATGCTTTAAACTCGGCCTTACCTTCACGATCTACAACTGACATGATGTGCGATGAGGAGGATGATAATTATGATTTTGAGTCTCATTTCTAAATTGGTATTAAAAGTGATTTATAGTTATGGTTGTCATCTAATGTTTTAATGTCTTATAAATTTATACACCCTTATCTATGTGTCAGCTGAAATCTTGAACATGGGGTTCAAAAGTCATTGAGCAATTAAAAGTCATGGAGTAATTAAAAGTCATGGAGTAATTAAAAGTCATGGAGTAATTAAGTCATGGAGTAATTAAAAGTCATGGAGTAATTAATCTTGAACAATAAAAATATTCATATCGCACAATGATGCCTGGTGCAGACACCTAAATATAACAGACGTACAATCAAATTTCTCTTCTTATATGTTTTCAATATACCATCATTAGTTATATGATTCATTTGTATTTAAAGTGGCAGTCTCACTGCAATAAGCTTTGGAGAAAAGTGGTTAACTTTGCTTTCATTCCTTATATTGATTTTATCACATCTACCACGATAGGGCTTATCACTACATTAGGGGCTGTGAGCAAATTTGCTACAATCTTGGTTCTTACCACAATCGTGGCTCTTACCACAATCTTGGCTTGTAACACTGGGACATAGTGTATGAACAGTTATGTTTCAGTTAATAATTTATTATCCCACTTAATTCAACAAAACTTAACATAAAACCATTGAAATCAATTAAATACATTCATAACATAACTGAAAAATATAATACAGTATTCTAATTGATTTTCACAAAATAATTGCATGAAATGAGAAAATAACAGATGGAAATGACACATTGATGGTGTTACCTGGGCTATCATTTGATTCATGTAGGCCTAATGAACAGGGAATCTGTGAATGGAGTTTTTAAAACCTGAGATATTGCAGGGCCCGGTATTTTTATTCACATGTCCTCCTACCTAACTTTCATTGATCATAAATCTCTGTAATTATATAAAAAACGTATGATTATAATAGCAGGAGTACTCGTCCCCACCCCCCCTACAGATTTTACTATAATAAATATTAGTTTATGTTTAAGCAATATAGAAAGAAGAAAAAAAACAAAGATTTATATATTTAGTTAGTTTTCACTGAAATTTCAATAAAAATGATTCATCTTTGCATTTTAATTAGATTAAAACTGGAAAGGGAGGTTATATATCTGATAATTTGTTAATTGTTTGAACTATTTATATCAGCAAGATTTTGAAAGAGTAGGAATGTAATAATTTTTTTGATGAATATTTCTTGGAATGATTGCAATCAACTTGCTAAAATATGGGTAATTTTTGATAAATAAATATAGTCCAAAGATTCATTGTGTGACAAATCTTGAATATACAGACCAATAAAAAACTTATTTTGAGATAGATGATTTCAGTACAGAATGACCATAAATAACAAACCCTCTTAAAAAAAAAAGAAATAATTCTCCCCCAATATTTTCGTTGTTCAGAATTCTACATGATAATTTGTGGGTTAGGAACTGAATCTGATATAGATTTATGCGGTAAAATTCTCCCACCATTTATATAGAGTTCATCTTTAACTATAACATCTTCTCCTAGTACTGATACATTCTCCATTCGGACCTACAATGACAAAAATACTAGAAAATATTATGGCTGATATTTACATACTTTACGAGTTAGCAAATATATAAGTTAAATCTGAATCTAACCTGGATGTTGTCAAGTCTGTATGCACATTTACTATAGAAGTCAGTTATATACTGTTACAAAGATAAAACATGTGATAGAGCTCTTTAAAGTTAAAAATTACCATTTTCAAATGGCTGTAAAACCAAAAATTGAGATATCGGATAGATCTTATCAGGGGCTAAAACTTTTGCTTTACAAGGTCACCAAAGATCAAGGTCATGAGATACTGGCCTGTAACTATTTGGCAATTAATGAAAATTGGAAATTAAACAAAAGTCAAACTGAAAATGAAAAATCCACTGGCATACTTTTTTGTGCAATCAATTATTTGTCTGCCAATACCAAAATAATGGAATTTAGATTTAACCCTGAGTTTGATCCTTAACATCCAGGTCAAATGTTTATATAATAAATATAAATGGAACAAACCCAATTTCCTACTGTACATTTCCAGCCTATTATACAAGATTCTAACCATGAATGTGATTTAATATGAGCATCTCTTAATAATGTACATCTTTTTATACATACACCATCTTCTATTATTACACCAGGTCCTATAGTAACATTAGGTCCTATTCGACAATTATTACCTATTTTAGCACTGGGGTCCTAGAAAAACAGATGTACATTTAAAGTTAGTAATTATTTTATCCAATCAACACAACACAGTATATTTGGTCAAATATGTTGTAAAATGACTGACTGTACAGCAGTAAAATATATTTAGAAATAAATCTGTATATTCCATCATGGATAGAAATTTTAATCAATGATTCCCATTCTTATTATTTTGGTAAATACTATATCTATTAGTATAAGACCAATACAAGAGAAATAAAACTGAATGCATGAAACTATTACCATATTATGTTGAATTTGACATATTTTGCTCCAGGGCAACAAACCAAAAACTTCATAAAAATATATCATCTAAGATCTGAATGTACCTAACATGTTTAGATATAAGAATATTAGAAACCTGTTATAATATATATCATAACCTGTATGAGGTGACAACAATATACATCCACATTATAATGTCATCACCCCTGTCAATCTGAAACACAATAGAGACTACAGTTTTTATCTGATTTTAATGAAATTTATTGTGATCATTTATAATAATGAGATCTTGGTCAAGTTCAAATTTGACAATTTTTTGATAAACAGTTTTTGAGTTATTGCCCTTGACTTAGTACAAACATGTCAAATTTTTGTATGAAGTTTGAATGTGGATATTATTTGATGAACAGGAGTTATTGCCCTTGACTTACTAAAAACGCATTAAAATTTGTTGGCTTTGATTGCGATATAGAGGTGACAGTTTATTTCAGAATTTTATTAAATTTTGTGTTGGACAAATTAGATTTTTGGTATGATTTGACACAGATTAGTGACCACTCTTAATATACTGTATGAAATGTATCAGGAAAGTGGGTGTATCTTGCCAGGCAACCGCTTGTTATTAAATAGAACCTAAAATGCCAAAATAAGAATTCAACACTTCCTGAAATGAAATTCGGTGGAAAGTCATCACCCATCAAAGCATACCAAGACCCAAGTTTCATCAAAATCAGGAAAAAAAACTGTCAAAGCATGTTGAGTTACAATATTAACAAATATTTAATTAAAAAAAACATACTATTAAAACATTGCCCACTATACCAGGACCATCATATAATTTGGAGGGATCTTTATATTTTAATGATGTTAAATATAAACACATTCCAGTTAGAAAATCTTTAGGTTGACCTACATCCATCCAAAATCCTAAAAAAAAAAGATCCATTGAATTTCCATATCTGAATGTTAGAAATTAAATACTGTCCATAAAGTGAAAACAAATCTCAACTTCCAGAGTATGATTTTGGTGAATTTCAGGAGAAGAACCATCAATTATTATGAAATACAGGTAGTTGAAATAGCATTTTACATAGGTAAAGCAGTAATCGCCAGGCAAGGTAACATATGCCCACTGTCAGCTGTCAAAAACCTTGTGTCATGTCATTAAATAATTCTGCAATAATCCTAAGATATAAGAATATTATTACAAAGTTTGATGAAAATATCTGTATATACAGGGTTAGGGTTGTTCAGTGACACCAGGTAAGTTCATCGATGAATGTAACTTCTGGTTTGAAATGTTACGTTCACACTAAAAGGACGTTGGTAACAACAATATATCAACAGGTCAATAATGTCTAACCTTTCAGCTCCATGGCAAATAGCTCAGCACTTTTTGCCATGTGTGGGAATACTTCTTTTTCTATTGATGTTGGTTTCAACTGAAAAAAGAACAAAAAAAAGCATGTTTATTATCAACTTTACCATGGTCTAAAAATCTTTTTACACATAACATAAGTGTTTGTGAGCAAATCAAATCAGATTGAAAATCATTAAGATATGTTCACCAATGAAAGGTATCTCGAAAGTTACTGTATTGGAGACCATTCTTTTCATCGGTCAAAATATATTCCTGATCTAGTAATTGAAACCATCTTTTACCTCTATCCTATTAAGAATACTAATATTAAATATATATAAACCAGCATTAATTTTATTAGACACATATTCTTGAGGTTTTTCCACAAACTGGTTTATTTGACCATTTTCAGCATTATAGACTACTACACCATATTTTGAAGGTTCTTCTACTTTTGTGACCTACAAGGAATAATAAGATGAACTTAATGACAGCCAATCAGTTAACATCTCTTTATTTACTTCAACCTTTTAATGATCACACTACAGATATACTCAACATAGTCATTCCTTTTAAACATAAACATCAACCTTTCAATCATAAATACATCAATAGTTCAATCAATCTAACCATAAAATAAACTAAAAAAAAACATACCATTATAGTTCCTTCTTTTCCATGGTGCTTATGGAATTGTATCATGTCTTTGAAAGGAAATTCACAAATTACATCACTGTTTAATACAAAGAAAGGATCCGAATCTTGGGATAGTAAATCACGTGCAAATGCCAAAGGACCAGCTGAAATGAAGGTAAAGGCTTTGGAAATCTATTTCATGGGCTGTTTTCAAGTTTTAGTGTTCAACATCTAGAAAAAATAAACCATTAAAGACTTAAAGAGACTTTTTTTCGCTTATTTTCACAAAGATGTATTATTTAAAAGATAGATTGCCAGGCAAGGTAACATATGCCCACTGGCAGCTGTCAGAAATGATCATAGAGCCTAAAGCGACTAAAAAAAGAATTTTATTTCAAAGATTGTCATAATTCATTTGTAATATGAATTTATTGATATATATATTATCACACTGCTTTCATGTCATTCTAAGTCAAGGGCAATAATTCAAAAACTGTATATCAAAAAAAATAATTAAAATAAAACTTGACCAAGATCTCACCAAATTACATTTAAATGAAATGAAAACTGTAGTTTCTACTGTACTCAGGAACAAATTCTTATACATCAAGGGCAATAATCTAAACAATTATTATTAATCAAAAATTGTTAAGTATGAACTCGTACAAGATCTCATGAATATAAATGATCAAACCTGTAAAAATCAAATTTCGACAGGGTTTTTTTCTAAGTCAAGGGAATAACTCAAACAGTTTTTGACAAAATCTCTAGATATAAATGATCCCACCAAATTCCATTTAAATCAGATATCAGATAAAGATAGCTTGCCAGGTAAAGTAACATACACCCACTGGCATCTGTAAGAAATGATAAAACAGTCTTTAATGACTAAACTATGAATTTTCTCATATTAGTTTGAATTCAATGATATATATATTTACTGCCAGTTATTTTTTTAAAATCAATGTTAATAACCCAAATACATCAAATTATCAGATTTCACAGCTTTAATATCAATATATATATATTATCACATCAAGTTTCATTAAAATCAGAAAAAAACTATAGTCACTATAGTGCTCACGAGAAATGAGGGACAGAGGCGACGGCAATATACGTCCACATTTCCATGTGGGTGTATAAAAACTACTGTACTGGTACCCTATACTGTATATTGTACTGGTAGAGAGATCTACAACTATAATAAGTTTATGTGGTATAATGGTTATATGTGTTATCAATGTATGAAAACTGTTGTTTCTGGTGTATCTGTATTTACAAAATTACATGCTTCGATCCAAATCTGTAAGGAGTCCCATCTACCATCTTATATAGCAACATATTGGATACGCCTTAGTTTGAATAAGTGTTTGACTAAAAAAATACCAACCCGTGCCTAAAGCTTCCGGCTCCATTGATAAAGTGATCTTCACATTCAACTAAAGATATAATATATAATTAATTAAAATAACATTAAAACAAACCCATGGTTGCAGTCAGGAAATCATATCAATATTTTAAAGACACTTGTCAGCTTTGAAATTGTTTCTTCCATTTAAATTGCATCAAAATCAGACAATAACTGATTTAGCAAACTTTATCATTTCTACATCTAAAGTTGAAGCCTTAACTAAGTCAAACACTTTACATTACCAAATTTGAACTTGGCAAAGATCTAATCACTGTATACATGCATACCAAGTTTCATCATGAATTAAAACTTGGAACTCCTAGTGTGTCTACAAGCCAACTTGACTAAGACAAGGGCAATAACTTCAAAACCATATCAAAATTCAAACTTGACCGAGATCAATATGTACATTCATTCATAGTTTCATCAAGATCTGATTATTACCAAATTCAAACTTGACCAATATCTCTTTAAATATTTACATGCATACCACATTTCATTCAGATCAGATAAAAACTGTTAACTATATCATGTCTAAAAGAAATATATACAGACAGGGGTGACGACAATATACGTCCTTTTGTGTGCATCCAAATATCACTTATTTCTCTTATACTTGTTTAAAAAATAAAATAAAGGATTATCAGGCAACCTAGTTACAATTCTTACATAGTTTACTTTTTTTTAGGACTACAAGCAACTTTTTGGAGAACTTTCCAACTATTTAGTAGGACTATTTTACAACTATATTCAAGGAAGAATCATGTCAATTACCTGTTCTTCTACATGTTTCAACTCTTGTTCCATCTGTTCAGCTCTATAGCTTACAGCTAAGATTATATGCTTAACACCAGCCTGTAATAAATCAAATATTTCCCTGATTTCTTAAAGATAGGGTTCCTTTATTTTCATAATACCAGTTTGTCTCACATGTCCATAATTAATTCATAATTAGCTAAATTAGAAGAGAATTACCAGCAGAATTCCAATGAGTGACCGATTAAGAAAGGTAGAGAGGTTAAAGTCTTTTTTTTGTTTATCCAGACTGTACATATATGGACATATATGACTGGTTAAAACTCTTAAGTTATATTCAATAAGAACATAATGATATTTGATTTAATAGGCGTACGTTATTATTGACAACATAACATTGACAATATTTAACAAACTGAAAACTTCACATTTTGTTGAGCTAAATCTTAAGAAATATTATGACTAGAGGAAGATAACCTCAATCAATTAAACAAACCATATTTCTAGCTGATATATAGTCCTGTAAATACCTCGGCTAAAGCTTCTAACTGATGTAACAGCATTGGTTTGTTTGCAAATTCCACTAAAGGTTTTGGTGTGCTAAGAGTCAGTGGCCGAAGCCTAGTACCATACCCACCAACAAGAATTAATGCCTTCATCCTGAAAATAAATCATTAGCTTTTTATAGTGGGGTAGATAACATCATTTTATTAGTCCAATCATGCAGATACATGTAACACATTTATATAATAAAAAACATGTAAGAGAGAGAGAAGTGGGAGTGTGCAGAGTTGTTTAATTATTTAGTAGTTGAGATTTCGACTGGTGTGTCTCGGTAAATGGAAGTGAGAGGTGATAGATAGGTTCACCTCTTTAGCATTAGCAGTGTGGTTGGTGGGAAAGTAGACTTTTGTCTTTCAACCAGTGGATTATCTCTCATCAGGGTGGTTATAGATTCCGAGTTTTAAAAGGGCATCAAGACTACTAGAGGGGTCACGAAATTAGCCATAACTGGGTCGTTGGCAGGGGTAAAATATAAGAGATTCATACACTTGCATGACTATGGGAAGTAAGGGTGTGGGGTGCTTTTTGCACAAGACTCATTCAGCTCTGAACTAAAATTCAATGAAGATGTAGTGTATAGCTTGCCAGGCAAGGTAATATATACCCACTGGCAGCTTAGATTTTGAATAAATATATTTGGCAGTGCAGTAACAAACACTGCTATGAAATATTCAACCTTCAGTCATACATTTTTGGGATTTTTTGGGGTGATAATGAACAGTATTAAACTCCAGCAAAAACCATGCCTTTTAGTCAATAACTCAAAGCACGAAATTAGGTTACTTGACTGTATAGTACTGTAACATCATATACATAGACAAATTTAAACTTTACTGAGATCTCATTAATATATACCGGTACCTGCATACCAAGTTTCATTAAAATCTGATAAAAACTGTAGCCCCCATCATGTTCACACGTCAAATTTGGTGCATTTTTACTAAGTCAAGGGTAATAACTCAAAAACCGTTCGTTCAAAATGAGCCAAATTCAAATTTGAACTTGACAGCCATCTTATCAATCCCAATGCTAACAGCAAGTTTCATTACAATCAAATGAAAGCTATAGTTTCTATTGTGCCCACAAGAAATGTTGATGGACAGGGGCAACAACAATGCACAACCATATATTCATGTGTAAAAAATAATACCCAATATTTCGTTAAATAAGTTTCGACTTCATCAGGGGAAGAAACAAACTACAAAGAAGGTATTAAAGGATGATATTTAATGTCAAGTATTATTATTTTTTACACCAAGTTCAGTACACATCAAATGAATCGCTGTATTACTAGTGGTATTGGTGATCCCATCAAAAAGTCTTATGTGATTGGTTACTTCAAGATTTCGTTTTATGTAAGGATATCGTAAAATTTACGTTTTATCAACGAAGAGTCCACGCAAATACGGGACAAACCAATGTTGTCGGATAAACGACACATTACAGACACCCCATATCTATCATTAATTTCTCTATGTTGACAATCATGATATTGATATGAATTTATATGAACTTATCATATTATATCCATTGGTATTAATAATACATCAGTAATCAACACACAAAATGATAAAATAGACTAGATCTATGTTTTACCTTTCAGCTTTCTTAACTGCCAAACTTGTCCAGTCCAAGCCTTAATTTTAAATTGCCACGAATGAAAAGCGGATGATGAAATATTATGTTTGGTTCTGTTTGACACAAATTTATCCCATCTCGATAAACGTGGGCCCACTGTTGTCGTCTAATTATATCCCGGGATTACAAAATATATCCTTTTAATCTCAACAATCTTTAAAATAAATTGTGCATTAAAATATTAATAATGATAATAGGTTACGTATGCAGATTATGTAATGAATGAGTCTGACAAAAGTAGAAAGATTAAATTTTGTTTACCGATCTATAGACTTTTGTTAGTTGCTCGTTTGCAAGCCTTGTAGTCCGAAACATCTGCATGCTTCTATACCAGCCTCTAATAACTTATTTTGATAGTTGTCGGCTGAAGAAGCCCGAAGATTAAAAAAAACTTGTTATATATGGGGATTGTAATATTTTCTTCTCAATTCATTATTAAATAATGAACAATATTGTCAATAAATCAGAATAGTTAAATAGACTTGTTTTATTAAAACTGTCCAAATATAATATTACACATCATCGTGTCCAAACCACACCCTCATTCGTCACACTTCCTCGAGACCGTGGTAACACAAGTCAGAAAAATAACGTGTCCAAACCACACCCTCATTCGTCATACTTCCTCGAGATCGTGGTAACAAGTCAGAAAAATAACGTGTCCAAACCACACCCTCATTCGTCATACTTCCTCGAGATCGTGGTAACAAGTCAGAAAAATAACGTGTCCAAACCACACCCTCATTCGTCATACTTCCTCGAGATCGTGGTAACAAGTCAGAAAAATAACGTGTTCAAACCACACCCTCATTCGTCATACTTCCTCGAGATCGTGGTAACAAGTCAGAAAAATAACGTGTCCAAACCACACCCTCATTCGTCATACTTCCTCGAGATCGTGGTAACAAGTCAGAAAAATAACGTGTCCAAACCACACCCTCATTCGTCATACTTCCTCGAGATCGTGGTAACAAGTCAGAAAAATAACGTGTCCAAACCACACAAATTTCAGCCAATCAAAACAAATCACTAGTTATGACGCTTTGTTTGCGAATGTAAACAAAACGAAAGTAGCGTGTCATTTCATATATTAATGCCTACGGTACAGAATTGAGTAAGATTTTCGTGAATGAATTGAAGCCGAGATAAAATAAAACCTTACTTTGAAATATTAACTTGGAAAGAATGTGTTCTTATCTCTTCAAACTGGCGGCGGTAAAGCCATGTTGTGTTTTGTTTACATGACCTCATTTCTGTTCTACCGATCTGATTGGTCAGATTTAAATAGCATCAATCTCATTTCCACGCCCACAAAACAAATTGAAGTGAGTTTAGTTTAATATAGGTTAATAAGACCAGGTCAAAACCTGTTTTCATGATACGATGTATTACACATATGATTGGATGATTGACAGGAAGTTATAATAATGCCCTAACAACTGTGGAATATGAATGAACTGTAACAATGTATAACTTCATGATATCTATATTGAATTGTCAGTCAATATCACAGGTTATTCAACTGGGCTATAACATCAATATACTACATTCCTTACCCGTTAATTTAATTTAATAACACACTTGAACCTTTCGGCAGAGGATTCAAGACACCGTTCTGAAGGTGTTAATCCGGTTGTAGTTTGAGGTGTAATTCTATAATGAAATAG